GGTGGCGGGGTTGGCGGGGTTGGCGGTGGTGGCGGTGGTGGCGGTGGTGGCGGGGTTGGCGGGGTTGGCGGGGTTGGCGGGGGATAGCGCGCCGTCCCCCCGGCCGGCGGCGAGGACGAGCGCCTCGTAGCGCGCGCCCTCGAGCTCGGCGTCTGAAATCCGGACCTCGACCTCGCTCCCCTCCACCACAGGCGCGCCCGAGCGGAGCCGGAAGGCGGCGGCCTCGGCAGCACCCGCCGCCGCCGCGTCCGCGGCCAGCGCCTTGCCGCCGCCCGAAGCCGCCGCCGGGGCAGCCGCCGGACGGCCGCGGCGGTGGGACCGGTCGGCCCCCGGCGCAGGCCGCTCCCAGATGAGCTCGGCGAGGGGCGGGATGTCGTGCTTTGCAACGAGGTAGAGGCGGAAGCACGACTCCGGAGGCGGAGGCGCGTGGGCGGATGGGTCTGGATACGTGACGAGCTCGAGGTTGGGCGCCTCCTCCGACTCGCGCACGATGCGAGCGATCGACCCCTCCTCGCGCAGGTCCAGCCAGCCGCGCTCCCCGCCGCCGCTCTGCAGCAGCAGGCTGCGCGCGCGCTCGTCAAGCCGGAGGACGTGCGAGCGCTCCAAGGGCAGCAGGCGGTCGTACTCGGCCTCCCCTCGCCACCGGCCACACACCTCCACCACCGCCTGCCCCGCCTTGATCGGCGCGAGCGAGCGGACGCCCCAGCCGGGCGCGCCCCAAGTCGAGGAGCCGGAGACGGGGGACGAGACGGGGAAGGCCTGGAGCCGGCCGAGCGGGAGGGTGGCGGGCGCTGCGCCGTCCGCCTCCGCTGCCCCGGGCGCGAGGGCGGGGACGCGCTTCCCGTCCACCAGGGAGAAGGAGCCGGCGGGAGGCACGTCTCGGTACCCGGCCGCCTCCGCAGCCTTAGCGCACGACAAGCCTCCGCTGTGCGGCACGCGCCCTGCCGTCCGCTCGACGGCCGCACCGACGAGAGCTCCTCGCACGGCGGGCGCACCGGCCGCCTCGCCGTCGGGCCCGGGAGGCAGCACGCGCGCGTCCGGCAAGCTGCGGGCCATGAGGGTGGCGTGCTGCTGGCCGAAGCGCTGCCCCGCGCGCTGCAGCAGCCCGCGGACCGCCGCGGCGACCTGCTGCGCGCACTGCGGGATGGTGGTGCAGCCCTGGCCGAGCCAGAAGCGGCGCGCCTCGTCGGTGGACGAGACGAGGAGGGCGACGGCGCCCTGCGAGCCGGGCGGGACGATGCCCTGCGCGGGAGAGGCGAGCCGACTCGAGGCGAGCTCGACGATCAGTGCCGTGAGCAGCGAGCCGTGCCCCTGCGCGCGCGACGAGCGGGCAGAGGCGAGGATTGGGACCTCGAGCACACCGCCCGTGCTCGCTCCGCCGAGGTGGAGCTCGATCACCGCCGCGGCCACCGCCTTGACGCCGTGCCGCCCCGTCGAGAAGAGGACAATCCGCCGGCAGCCCGAGAACTGCGACGTGAGCCGGATCATCGTCTGGTCCGACTCGACCTCGCCCAGGATCCGGTCCGCCTCGGCACCGCCGGCGTCGGCGCCGCCGAGGCTGTAGACAAAGTCGGGCGCGCCCTCAACCTCCGCGTGGTTGACGAAGAGCGCGTCGAGCAGCGACTCCTTGCCCGTGCGCCGCTTGGCGCCGCGCCCTTCCACCTCCACCGGCGACGCACTGCGCGCCCGCTTTGCGGCGCGCCGCTCGGCGGCGGCGACCTCCGACGGCTCCGGGTCGCGAAACACGTCGTCCTCGGTGGGCTCGCGGTAGGTCACCGTCGCCGACGCGCGGCGCGACGGGCGCGACATCGCTGTGCAGTGGGCCAGTGTCAACGGGTACCGGGGGTCGTACCTGGGTACCGGGTGTGTCTTGTTACGTGAAAACCCGTACTCGGTGTCGAACCACCAGCTCGACGCTCACTACAAGTGACCGCTGGGACCCGGACGCCAGCACACACGGCTAGATTTCATGGCGGGCCGCCTAGGCCCTGGGGTCGGAGGTAGAGTCGGTGGGGGTGCCGCGCGCGGCGCGGGCTTCGCTGTCGGGGGCGTTTAGGGCGGGGTCGGTCGGGGAAGGAGGGTGGGGTCGGTCGCATTGGCGGCCGCGCGGCGGTGGCTGCGGGGGGGGCGGGAGGAGGAGGTGGCGCCGACCGCAATGGCGGCCGACCCGACGACGAGCGCCGGGCGAGATCGCGAGGGTCGAGGGTGAGCTCGAAGCCGAGGGCGGCGGCCGAGTTCTGAATGGTGAGGGCGTCGGCGGTGACGATGGCGGCGGAGACGGCGGCGGAGTGGAAGGTGTAGTGTGAGCGGGTGGACGCGCGAGAGGTGCCATACGGCGTGTGGTCAATGGACCCACTAGCGCGTGCGGTCCTCGCAAGCTGGCGGAGGACGCGATCGAGGTCGGCGGAGAATGCTCCGGTCGACTCGGTCACGAGGAGGACGACCGTGTGACCCTTGGCGAGGGCGTCGGCATAATCGCCGTCCTTCGCTGCCACCCATCCGTCGCCGCTGACGCGGTCCAACTGCTCCTCCGTGTCCGGGTCACCCCGTTGGGGGTGGCCGAGAACGACGACGGAGAGGTGCTCCTCAGTGTTGCCAAGCGCGATGAAGTGCCCGTCGGCACGGGAGGCGGCGCCTCCGCAGCGAGCAGAGCCGTTGCCCTTTGCGCCGGAGGGGAGGAACGGAGTGTAGCACTTGAACTCCCAGCACGTGGTCGTGGAGCCAAAGCGGATCAAGTCTGGGATGTGTCCCTTGTTGACGTGGGCGTAGTAGCCCCTCCGCTCAGCCTTGGAGGCGGGGGTCCCGTCTCCCTTGTCGGCCAGCTGGATCGAGCCAACCGGGTGTCAGATACGGTGGGGGGGGCGGGGGGGTTCGAGAAGGGACGCAAAAATGGCGCGGAGGAGGAAGTCCAGCCTGTGCGAACCCTCACGCGGCGACGGGCGATTGGGGCAGCTGTGTCAGGCGTCCTCAAACCGGAGGCTGCTGCTAGCGCCGTCGCCGAGCTGCGCGAGAGGGCGGCGCTGCAGATCGCTGCCGATTCACCTCGCAGCAGGTGTCTTCCTTGCGCGCGTGCCGTGCGCACTGTCGCAGTCGAGTCACCACTCGTCCGCCCGCAGGCTATCGCATGGCCTCGCAGCGCGTATCGGTCAGCTCCTCCTCGTCAGCGGAGCTCGAGACGACGCTCGCCGAACTGTTGGCGGCGGGCGTCCCGTCCCTCGCCCGGGTACCTCCGACAGTGCAATCGTCGGCGCGAGAGGCCAAGTATCCGCGACGTGCGGGCAGTACTGCGGGCCAGACGCAATCGAGGGGGATAGGGGACGATATTCGGGCTAAGGAGGCAATGCTGGCGGCGTTTGGGCCTGTGGCACGTCACGTCTTTGCAGGGGATGGCCGCAGCCCTTCGGTGCTGCTTCCCCCTCGCGCGACGCCCGGCGAGCGGGAACTGATGGTTGAGCACGCCGTGAAGGGGCTACGAGGATCGCTGTCGCTTGAGGATGCAAGTGGTGGCCTCCAGGTAGCGAGGCGTCTCTTCGATGTGCAAGCTTGCCGCGTCTGCCAGCGCGCTGCATGGCGTGAGGCGCTCAGACGTGCGGGCCCGCAACAAGAGGGGGCGCCGAGCGTGGCAACGATCGCCGCCGTTCTCGGGGAGGGCATAAACGCCGTGCTGTCCGACATGCCGGCGCTTCACCGCAGCCTCCGCCGACTGGCCGGTTGTGAGCTGCCCCTCCCCCTCCGAAGCATTGCTTGGCGCAGCGCCATCCTTGACCAGTCAGAGCTCCAGCGCGTTGCCGTCGCCCTACGAGCCGCGGGCGACAGTCAGGCGGCGCCCCCGCTCGGCCGACTGATTGAGCCAATTATTGGCGCGCGGATCGGGCGTGCCTGCCAGCGAGCCTCTCAAAGTGGAGGCGGCAGACGGAGTCCGGCGGCGCGCGGCGGCGCTGCTCGTGCGAAGCAGCCAGTGCTCTGGCGGCGTGTTGCCTTTGGCCGCCGGCTCGCTTGCGATGGCGCTCGTGTGTGGCCTCGCGCGAGCAGAGCCAGCTGGGGAAACTCCAGCCGAGGTGCCGGTCGAAGAGGTGGCAATGTTGCTTGAGCTGCAGCGGAGTTGCATTCCGCGCGCCAAGGATGCGGCGCGTGACCCGCGACACGGGCTCTTGGGACAGCTCCGGCGGTGGCCAAACACCTTGCGCCACCTACTCGACATCTGCGCTCGCACGGCGCGCGAGGTCGCTCCGCCGTGGAGCGTGCTCCACATGCTCATCGACGAGGAATGGCTTGAGCACGGACTCGTCGGTGGGATGAGCTGGCCCGTCGTCCTGTGGGTGTGGGACTGCGCGCTGATGGGTTGGGAGGCTCTCGCCGGAATCGCGGCCGATTGTGTGTGGCTGCTGCGGAGGCAGATCCGACGGCTCGACAAGGCTGGAGGCGGCGCCGAGGACCTGAGGCACCTCCTTGCGACTGGCCTCAGGGACGTGACGCTGCCTTCACTCCAGGCGCTACACTCTGCGACACACCGTCCGTCCGACGTGCCAGGGCCAAGTGCTGATCAGCTACCTGCGGAGCGTGCGGCGAGGCTGCGAAGCGCCGCGATCGCCTCTGCGCCGCGGCCAAAGGTTGCATTTCGCATACCAGTTGCGGCGACGTGATGAGACGGCGTGCGTGTGCTTGCGTGTGGGATATGCTCCACGGTGTATATGTCTCAGAGTTTGTGTGTGTGTCGGTACGTGCGCTGTGACGTGGATTACCGTTTGGGCGCGTCTAGACGCGCCCCTCCGTGCTCCGATGACCGCGCCCCCATCCGCGCCGGTACAAAGTTAATGTGGGTCCGTTGGTGCGGATTAAACGTGTGTCTACAGTATTCTCGAGCGTGAGGGGCGCCGATCCAGCTGCAGAGCCAGGCCTAAACTGCTGGCAGCACTCAACGCGCGCGACGACCGTGAGACAGAGTCTCGGCCACTCGGGCCAGTCTCTATACCTCGTACCACGACGGGCGGCGCCCGGCGCGGGCCCCGCACCTCCTGAGATGTCCCCCCAACCACCTCTTCTCCTTCTGCCTGGGCGCCGCCACCGGGCCGCCGCAGCATGTACCTCATCCCCAAAGCGGTCGGGCTGTTGCCGCCCTACTTCTTCATGGCCATGGCAACCAGCCCCGCGCCGAGCAAAACCGACACGGCGCCAGCGCCCGCAACCGCCTTGTGCAAGCTCGAGATTTGGCTCTCGTAGATGTCCTTCATCTGCGCCTCGAGCATCTTCGACTCGTTGACGCGGTCGACGAGCGAGTCGCGCGATCCCCCCCGCACCGACTTCCGCGATGCCCCGTGGTGCTCAAACGCCCATTGAAGCTCGGACTTGCGGTCGCTGGTCCCGCTGTCCCGCTCCGGCCCGGGCGTGACGCCGTCCAGAATGAACATCTTGTTGGACTTCTCGAGCTTGCGGATGAAAGCGGTGTCCGCCTCCACCACCTTCGGGTCAGGGTGGCTCAGGATGCAGGACCCGGTCGAGGTGAGCAGGTCGATCGTCTTGACGATGTTGTCGCCGACGCCGACCGCCGCATCCATCGACGAGAAGCTCTTGAGCTTTTCGATCTTCTTGTAACCAGGGCAGCCCACGACCTTGCCCTCGACGTAGCTCACAAACTTCACCTCGAGCCCACCGGCGAGGAATGGGATCGGCGGGATCGAGGGGATCGCCGCCCACCTCTTCGGGTCGACGTAGGCGTCGATGGCGGCCGTCACCTGGTTGTAGCCTCCCGTGAGGCCCGAAGAGAGCGGCATCCAGGCGCCGTTGCCGCCGTGGCAGCGGCAGTTGACCTCGACGAGGCAGGGGCCGTCCTTGGTCATCATGATCTCAGAGTGCGTCGCCCCGTTTGTGATGTCGATCGCGTTGATGGCGCAGCGGGTGTACTGGATGATGGACTGCGCCTCGGGCGCGTCAAGGGGGATGGGCTTCATGCCAAAGTAGACGAACTGCGAGCCGTTGGCGAGGCGCTTGTCGTACTTCCAGAGCATGATGGTCTTGTGCTTGCCATCCTTGGAGACGTGGTCGCAGACGTACCTGAGCGGAGGCAGAGGGCGGGGATGGAGCGTGACGGGGCGGGGCCGGTGCCTGGCCCGCCGCACGAGGGTCGTGGCGGCGCACTCGTCTCCCCGCAGGAACTCCTGGACGAGGACCGCCGCGCCGACGGAGCCGATCGCGCGCTGCGAGTTCATAAGCAGGTGAAAGTGCGCCTTGGCGTCCTCCTTGCTCTTGCACAGCTTAACTCCCTCTGAGCCGGCAGACTCGACCGGCTTGACCACAACAGGAAAGGTCTGCGAGTCGACAAACGTCTCGACGGGCCCCTCCCACTCGGTGCTGGCGAGGCCCTTCACCGCGCGAATGCCCGAGTTGCGGAGACTGTCCTGCTGAATCTGCTTGTCCCGCCGGTTCTCCATCCCGTTGGCGATCGAGTTGCCCCGGAAATTGAGGTACACGCAGAGGGCGTCGCAAACCTTGACACCAGACTCACCTCCGCAGATGATTGTGCTGAGCGTCTTGGTGCCACACGCCTTCTTGACCGCGGCCGCAATCGCCTCGGTCCCACCCTCCGGCTCGTACACCTCCGCCAAGTACCCGATCGACTTTCTCCACGCCTTGACCTCAGCTGGGACATGCTCCTCGTTGCCGCCGCACTCGTTCGTCCAGAGCGCCATGACTGCAAAGCCGCGCCGCGAGAGGACCACCGACAGCATGCCGCCGGTCGACCAGGGGTCCACGACCACCGCAACCTTGGACGCCGTCATGAACGATGTGAGTCGCCGGGGTTCAGAGGGGTACAATGCGGTTGGGCAAAAAAACAACTAACCCTACCATACGTGCTTCGTTCCGCTTCTTCCTCGGGCTGTTCCATCTCCTCGTCTCTTTCCCACCTAGGCGTGGCGATGGGGGGCGGCGGGATCGGGGATGCGGTGCAATCGTGTGTTTGGCGTCATGTTGTGTGTGCCGCGCCTTCGCTTGTTCCAACAACGAAGTCTAGCTCAAAAAATTCGTTTCTTACTTCCAAGCTGCGTATTCTTGTATTATGTGCGCCTTCTTGTCGAGCAGTACAGGTACTCCGTGGGGGAAGTGTGTATTCTCGTAACATGTGCGTATTCTCGTATCCACTGGCTCCGAGTAGAAAAAGAACTGGACAGGCCTGCTCTCGGAGAGGGGGGCTAGGGGGCCAAATCCACGGCCACAACCCCCTAGAGGCAATGGAGCTGAGAGAAGGCGCTCGACTGCAAGGGTAGCAGAGCGCCACTCCTACGCCCACGCCCCCTCAAAGACGGCAGAAACAGTCACACGCAATTAGTACATGGCCCAGCTCGCGCCATCGCCCACACTCGAGCTTTGCAGCGCGCGGGCTCACACTCTACTATAGGCCCCCTCGACGCCCACTTCGAGTTCTACTCAGCTAAGTAAGGGCCGCACTTGACGCTGTAAGCAGCGCGCGGCGAAGCAGTTTGGCGCTTGTGTAACAGGAACAGTTTTTTTTTAGACCGGGTAGACGGTAGACCGTTTGGTAGACGGTCTACCGCAGTCTACCGGTATTGGTGCTACAGTCTACCGGTAGACCCATAGGAAAGGGAATCCACACATTTCTTTTTTGGAGCATGCAGGCTGGCAGGTGTACAGCTCAGACCTGCCTGCCTGCATACCTGCCATAGGAAAGGTAATTTACACATTTCTTTTTTTGGAGCAACGGCGCCTTTGCGCGCTGCGTTGCGGAGCGAGGCGCGTGTGCGTAACGCCGTGCTGCTGGGAGCCGCATGGTTTTAAGTTTACCTCTGTGGTGGCCTGCCCGCGAATTCTTTTTTGACGTGCCGACGGAAAACGCCGATAATGGTTCCCCTCTCCCTCCTCCCCCTCCTCCTCCCAGCGGCGGCGGTGCGGGGCGAGCCCGAGCTCCTCGCGGGGCTCTCCGCCCCCGGCCTGAGCGTCGGCGCAGTGGCGGCTCTCTCCACCACGCCCCGCGCCCGGCGCTCGCTCACGGGGATAGCGCGAGAGCTTTGCGACACTACACGGGTGGCCGCGCCCACACTTGATGGCTGCCCAACCCGCTATCGTGGCACGGGTCTCACTTATGTTTTGACTCCGACCACCACTGGAACGTGCAACGTGTATGCGGCGCCGGCGGCGGCTGTTCACGCTTGGCATCAAGACACAGTGGTCGTGGCAAATGCGCCCACAGAGACCCTGACGGTGTCCGCAGAAGCGGGTTCTTTCGAGAATGTCGTCATCACCGCTGAGCTCGCAGCGGACAAACTCACGCACGTAATGGCCCAATACGGTCGGTCCATCATTGTAACGAATGATGGGGCGACCCGCTTCACGGGCGGGACGAGCTCCACGTTCAACATCGACGCTGACGGCAGATTCGACCTCGGAACCAACACGATCGAGGGCGCCCAGGAGCAGACCGCCATCTACGTCGAGGAGGTCTGCGTCAATACGCTCAACATCAGGGCGAAGAACGGCGCCAAGGTCAAAGTCAACGTGCCCTCCGGCTGCGACGGCATGGTCATGGACGTCGAGATCTTAGGCTGCGGAGAATGCGACGTCGGCTCCGTCGTTGAGGTGGTCTCTGCCTCGCGGGTCAATTTCAAAGGGATCCAGCTGCTCGAGACCACCAATACGACGGCCTCCGACTACAACGGGCAGTCGTTCAGGTACACGAGCTCTTTCCCCACGTACATCGACCACCTGCACCTGTCCACGATGGGGCTCAATGCGAAGGTGAGCATTGAGGCGCCGCTCGAGTACATAAACTGGTGCCTCCTGCCCGGAAACGACACGGACGGTTACGGCACCGCCAACTTCTACGGCGCGTGGACCAACGGCAAGAACTGCACTACCTACGATCGGGGCCGGTGGGACCTCTACTCCACCGCCGAAAGCTCCAGCGACATCCAGGTCACCGGGCTTACCGCGTCCAGCCGCTCCTCTGGCACCATGTGCTGTGCGCGCCCCGGCTGCTCCCCCCCCGTTGACCCCGAGGAGACGTGTGCGTCCGGATCTCGCTGCGCTGCAGGCATATGACTCATTTGCAACCCCCCACCCCACCCCCCACCCACCCACCCGCCCGCCCCCTTCCCCTCCCATCTCCCAGAGAAAGATTGCGGCGTCAAGAAGGCCGAGTGCGACGCACGGTCTTCCGAGCGGGATCCGAATACGAACACCTGCGAGGTTGTGAAATCTGGCACCGTCACGAAGGAAGGAACAGTGTTCCCGTTCTACACGGTCGTCAGCCTATGTACCTACGATAACCCCGGCGACGACCCTTGCTTCTCCCGCGACATGTACGCGTGCCGCCTCCTCAACCCCAAGGCGCGCTCCCTAGGCGAGTCGGATTGACACACCTTGCCCCCCCCCCCACCCACCCACCGACCCACCCACCCATCTCCCCACCCCCCCCCCTTGTCACCAACCCAACACACACCCTTGCCCGTCCCGCCCAGGCCCCCGCCGCCGAGGCGTACGCCCAGTGCTTCCTCGGCGCCGCCGGCGACGCGGCGACGCGCACCCTCTTGTCCGAGCTCGCCGCGGGCGACACCGTGCTCTCCGACGCGGACACCGCCGCGCGCGTCATCGTCAACCAGCACAAGATCGAGGACGGCAAGGCCTCGCTCCTCATCACGCTCATGCACGCGCGCGGCTCGCTCGCGCTCACGCCCGACCACGTGCTCGTGCTCGACGGCAAGTTCGTGCCTGCGCGCGAGGCGCACATCGGCGCGGCCCTCTCCAACGGCGCGGTCATCGAGGCCATCTCACACTCGCGCGGCGGCATCATCAACCCCATCACCGACACCGGCAAGATCCTCGCGGCGGCCGCCACCGGCGAGCCCGTGGTCGCGGCGACGGGCAACGAGTGGCTCGCCGACGTGATGCTCTCGGCCTACCCGAAGTACACCCTCTCGTACGCGCTCGCGGCCGCCTTCCCCGCCGCGGTGCAGGCCTACTACGACGGCGCGCTCGAGCCGCTCTTCACCGCGGCCGTCCCGCACCTCACTAAGATCAAGGCCGCCGCGCCGGCGCCGCTCGTCGGCGTCATTCTCGTGGCGGGCGACGCGGCGCTCGCCGTCGGGTTCGCCGCCTACTCGCTCGGCCTCAAGGGCGTCGCCACCCTCGCCGTGATCGCGGCGGCGGCTGCGCGCAAGGGCAAGAAGCCGTGAGGCGCGCGCGGCCTGGCCGTCGGAGGTTTGTAGCCGCTGGGCGGCGCAATAATTGCCTCCACATGTCGGAAATATGGCCATATCTAGATAGTACAGCCCTTGAGGAGGCTTCTTGCCCCGGGAGTCGTGGTCGGAGGCCGGGACACTACGCGCACTAAGTTAGTGTGCGGAAGTGAGTGCCTCGGGCCGGCTGAGAGGGGAGTGGTCCGGCGGGACACTACTCTAGGGCACTTCGAGTGGCGGACGGAGGCTCGGCGGCTACTATAAGTTAGTGCGTGGGAGTGGGAGTGTCTCAGGCCACCCCGCCCACCGAGCAGGGGACGGGTCAGCCGCCCGGCGAATTCTTTCTTTTCACAGGACAGTCCGGCGCCTTGCCGGAAAGGCGGTCTGTTGCCACTGACTCTCGCGCCAAGACGCTCGGTTCTGTTCCCCGTGTTTCAGCAGCTCACAGCTCAGCAGGTGTGAATCTCTCATCCCGTGGCGAGGAGGAGGATGCGAAGCGAACGAGGTGGAGATGATGGAGCTTGGAGGCGCTCGCCGCGGCGATTGAGCGCCTCCCTCGCTCTCTCCGGCTGCGCGCGCCTGATCGCCTGACTCTCTCATCTCTCTCTCTCCTCTCTCTCCGAGTCGGAAAGGGCGTCTAGTAGGCGCAAGGTTTTTTGCTCGCCGTTCCTCTGGGACCCCGCGTTGCGTGTCTGACTGTCACTGTGCTGTCATGCGATTTCATCGGTCGACCGGGGTTGTGCTTTTCTGTGAACTAGACGTACCGGTCCAAGGGTATTTTCTTCTCAATAACAAGGTCTGAGAGATCTTTAGCATACCTACCGTCGGGTCTCTATTTTATAAGCCCAGGTTAACAGCAATAGATCCGGCCCTCACGTGGCCTAACCGATACCCGGCCCTCACGGAATCGGTCCCTCCACTATCAAACTATTAGCCTAATAACGACCTAATTAGAAAGAACGCCTGCGCAGGGGCCACAGGGCGGTCAGTGGTGGTGAGGCGAGGCGGAGCTGGCCGCGGGCCGGATGCAAGGCGTTGTGAATGCCACGTGCGTAAGGCCGGGACGGAGGGGCGCCGTAGCCTTGGTGGTCTATGGCATAGCGAAGATGCGCTGCCTCGCTGCACTTACAAAAGGATTCTACAAGGAAGCTGGGCAACTGGAACTCGTCGGAGCTTCCGGGGTGACACGGGGAGCTGATCGTTTCCGCAGGGGAAAGGACAAGACGGATTTTTCAACGATTCTTCTTCACAGTTCTCTACACACAGACGCACAATCCGTCGTACCAAGCTAGGGCTGGGTCAAGGAGAGAACACGTCCCGGGGAGGGGGCGAAGGGGATCTCTCTCGTAATCTTGCTCGTGCGAGTTCATCGCCTGTGCGATTTCTTTCTTCGTGGGCGGCAAGCAGTTGGCGGCAAGCAAGCAGTTGGCGCAAGCAGCGGAGCATCGCACACGCGATGCCTGGCGGCGCCGACCTGATGAGTCTGTACGGCGCCACCGGCGGCCGGACCAAGGGAGGTGTGATGCCCGTCGCCGAGGAGGGCTTCGCGCTCGCCGTCGGCTACGCCCTGCTATGGGCCTCGAGACGCGACTCATGCAACGTTGGCTTCGTCACTATGGTACTAGAAGTGCTGCGGGCGCAGGGCATGACGAGGATGAATTGGTCGCGCACCACCATGGTCGACTTCGTCACCGAGTGCGTCTTCAACGGCATCACGCAGAAGGGGCTCAGCACATTGCCGTGCTATTCACTTCCAAAAATCGACCCCCGGGACCCCGACCGACCTATAAAAACCCATGTGGGTGCCTACTTGGGCACGAAAGCAATCCCTGTCATCCGCTCCGACAACTCCCACATCTTCGACGCGACCGCCGCGTCGTCCGCTTCCTTTGAGGGCGGCGTCTTCTTGCCGTCGACGTAGTAGCCGCCGCTGACCGCCGCGCGGTCGAGCTTCGGGTCGGAGGCGAGGGCGAGTTGCGTCTGCGCTGCCGTGTCGGCGGGCGTCATGAAGTAGCCCTAGATCTTTTGCAAGTCGCGTAGCTTGCTCCCGTCGGGATCACCCACGAGCGCGCCGCTGCCCACGTCCGCCTTGAGGTCCGGCAGTGAGTAGCGGAAGAGGGCGGTGTTGACGAGCCCGGGGGAGACGCTCGAGACGGCGACCTCGATCCCCGGCGGGATGCGCCGCTCAAGCTCCTTGGCAAAGAGTACGTTGGCCAGCTTGGACTGCGTGTACGCCGAGCAGAAGGGCGTGCTGCAGTCCTTGTACGCGCCGGGCTTCTCCAGGTTGATGTCGTCGAAGCGGATCGTGCCCTTCTTGTGACCGTCGCTCGAGACGACGACGACCCTGGCCGCACCACCGCCCGCGGCCGCCTTCTTGAGGGCCGGCCAGAGCCGCGCCGTCAGGGCGAAGTGGCCCAAGTGGTTCACCCCGAGATGCCGCTCGAAGCCGTCCTCAGTGGTGGCCCGATGCGGAATGGCCATCACGTCATGTAGAGCACCTCGAAGTTGCGCTTCTTGCAGCGCTCGATGAAGGGCGACGTCTCGACCGCCTTCTTAGTCTCGCCGGTGATGTAGTAGACGTCCTTCTGCGACTCGGGCATGCGGGAGACGTAGTCCTTGAGCGACGTCATCTCGTCGCCCGACTTGGTCGAGTGGTACATGAGCAGCTCGGCGAGCTTGGCGCGGTTGCCAGAGTCCTCGTGGATGCCGAGCTTGACGTTCTTGGAGAACTCGTAAAACTTCTTGAAGTCCTCGGTGTTCTCTTGGATCTCGCCGAAGAGCTCGATCGCCTTCTTGAGGATGTTCTTCTTGATGACCTGCGAGGCGAGGGGGGCGAGGCGCGCGTCAGAGAGAGGGCGGGCGCGTCTCGGAGGCGCGTGGGGCGCGGCGCCTTGAGGATCTTGTTCTGCTGCAGCGTCTCGCGCGAGATGTTGAGCGGCACGTGCGCCACCGGGGATTTCGGCCATTTTAGAGCCTTTTGCACAAAAATGCTTAGTCACTTGCTCCATGAGCAAAACAGTCCAAAAAGCACCTAGAATTCTTAAGATACAAGCCTCTCTCACAGCACACTGGCACGACAAGGGCGCAGACTGGCGCGGACTGGCACACACACAGGCTCACCACCGGAGCCGCCTAAGCGACTCCGTTAAGAACGGCAATGCACTCCGCACCATGCACAATGCCGCTCTCCCCGCACGCTAGCTCGTTCACCGTCTGCCACGCCACGGCGGTGTGGAGGACGACAGACAAGCGCTGCATCTGCAGCCCGTGCCAGTTCTTGGTGGTCCATGTGACCTCGTCCAGGGCAGAGGCATCCGGCGAGAGGAAGGCGCGGAGGTCGTAGGCCGAGCAATTAGCGATGTAGAAGAGGACGTGCCCGTGGCAAAGTCGGCGCTTCGAGGGGTCCGAGCAAGAGGAGCAACAGCAGGCGAGAAAGAAACCCGCGAGCTCCCGCCGGACGCGCTCGACAAAAGCAGGGCTGGCCCGAAGGCGCGCAGCAAACTCGCGGACGCACTCCCTGCGCCCAAACGAGTCGCGGGGATCGCGAAGGGGGAAAGGGTTGCCCCAGGGAGACGAAGCGCACTGCGCGCCCAGGTCAAACCCGGACCTGAGTCGCGGGTGGACGCAGCCCTGGCAGCCGCCGCATCGCATGACGCTCCGCCACTCGCCGCCGCCTCGCGGCCCCGCCCGCCGCAGCTCGCTCTGGTTCCCCACCCGCCGAAGGGCCTCCCGGAGGACAACCACGTCGGCGTCGTCCAGACTGACGCCAAGCACATCGCAGAGCTCCTCCTCGAGAGTGAGAAGGGGCTGGCGAGGAAGCGGGTGGCCAGCGCGGCGGCAGACGTCGCCTCGCAGCAGGTCGCCTCGCAGCAGGTCGCCTGGCAGCTGCTCGCCTGGCAGCTGCTCGCCTGGCAGCTGCTCGCCTGGCAGCTGCTCGCCTGGCAGCTGCTCGCCTGGCAGCTGCGAGGCAGCTGCTCGCCTCCTCGCAGCTGCTCGCCTCGCGGCGCGCCCGGCGGTCGAGCTGAAGCAGCAGCGCCAGGAGGGGCCTCCAGGTGCTCGCCGCCCCATCGCGGCGGCCGGCCGGCCGAGCTCTGCGGAAGCGTGCACAGGATGCCTTTTGCATCCAGGCGTCGTTCTGCGGAGCGCGGCCCACCGGCCGGTGGCGCGCATGCCGAGCCAGAGTCCTCGCGACCGGTGCCAGCGGCAGCGGTCGCGCGCGGCTGTAGCCGCGTAGGAGCCCTGGGTCGGCCACCGCGGCCACTGCCCAAGGCAGCGGCCACCATGGCAGCGCGCTACGGCGTCTGAGCTGGTGCGCCAAAAGAAAAAGAAAGAAAACGGACAACCCAAGGGAGGGATGGGAGGCACCTGGAGCAGATGGCTTACGTCGCCTACGTTAATTTTTTTCTTGCGTTTGAAAAATTCTTTTCTCAGCTCATCTATCATGGTTCGTGCTGTGGCTGTGGACGCGCCGCTGCTCGGGCAGCGAGTCGTGCTCGGCGGCCTCTCTTCCCGCCCAGAGCTCAACGGGCAGCGGGGCGTGGCTCAGAGCTTTGAGGGCGGGCGATACGCGGTGGCGCTCGAGGGAGGCGGCGAGAGCGTGCGGGTGCGGCCGGGTAATCTGTCGCTGGCGGTGGAGCTGAGCGGTGCCTTGGCAATCACCGATGAGGTCGTGACAGCGGCTGAGCGAGGCGACGAGGCGGCGCTGCTGGCGTGGCTTGACAGCGGCGCGGAGATCAACCTGCAGAGCGGCGTCGGCGGGACCGCGCTGATGTGCGCCGCCACTAACGGTCACGAGCGGGTGGTCGAGCTGCTGCTGCAGCGCGGCGCGGAGATCAACCTGCAGCGCGGCGACGGCTGGACCGCGCTGATGTTCGCCGCCTTCAACGGCCACAAGCAGGTGGTTGACCTGCTGCTCCGGCGTGGGGCGGATATTAACCGTCAAGACAGCGATGGCAGCACCGCGCTGATGCTCGCCGCCCAGGAGGGCCACGAGCGGGTGGTCGAGCTGCTGCTGCAGGGCGGCGTGGAGATCAACCTGCACGACAGCGACGGCGGCACCGCGCTGATGTTCGCCGCCCAGAACGGTCGCGAGCGGGTGGTCGAGCTGCTGCTGCAGCACGGTGCGGAGGTCAGCCTGCAGAGCAGCGTCGGCAGCACCGCGCTGATGCTAGCCGCCCAGGAGGGCCACGAGTGGGTGGTCGAGCTGCTGCTGCAGCGCGGCGCGGAGATCAACAAGCAGAACAGCGTCGGCAGCACCGCGCTGATGGACGCCGTCAGCCACGGTCACGAGCGGGTGGTCGACTCGCTGCTTCAGCACGGTGCGGAGGTCAACCTGCAGAGCAGCGTCGGCGGCACCGCGCTGATGATCGCCGCCACTAAGGGCCACGAGCGGGTGGCTGCCTTGCTGCTGCAGCACGGCGCCGAGGTCGACAAGCAGGACAGCAACGGCAGCACCGCGCTGATGTGCGCCGCCAGTAACGGCCACGAGCGGGCGGTCGACTCGCTGCTTCAGCACGGTGCGGAGGTCAACCTGCAGAGCAGCGTCGGCGGCACCGCGCTGATGATCGCCGCCACTAAGGGCCACGAGCGGGTGGTCGAGCTGCTGCTGCAGCGCGGCGCGGAGATCAACCTGCAGAGCAGCGTCGGCAGCACCGCGCTGATGTTCGCCGCCCAGGAGGGCCACGAGCGGGTGGTCGAGCTGCTGCTGCAGCGCGGCGCGGAGATCAACAAGCAGAACAGCGGCGGCGGCACCGCGTTGATGCAGGCCGCCAGCTACGGCCACCCCGCTATCGTGCTCCGCCTGCTGCGGGCGGGCGCAGACGCGGCGCTGCGCACTACGAGGCATACTGCAGCGCGGACCGCGCTGCAGTATGCCAAGGAGGATGGCCAGGCAGCGTGCGTCGAGGCCTTCCGGCAGCACGTCGCGGAGATGACTGCGAGCCGGCGCGAGCCGGCGGCGAGCGGCGCGGGCGGCCCTGTCTCGGGCGAGGCGACAGCGGGAGCGGGGACCGCGGCCTCTTCCGGCTCACTGGGCAGCCTGCCCACAGAGGCGGAGGCGGCGGCGGCGGCGAGGGAGGTAGAGAGAGCGGCGGCAGAGGCGGAGGCGGCGCGACACGCCGACGCGCTGCTGGCGGAGGAGGAGGCGGAGAAGGAGGAGGGGGAGCGCGCCAAGGAGAGCAAGAAGGGGAAGAAGAAGAAGAAGAACAAGGGAAAGGGTGGCGCTGGGCCGTCGCGGGAGCCCGAGGATGAGGCAGCGCTGGCGGCGGCGGAGGAGGCGGAGTCGGCGGCGGCGCTCGAGGAGAGCGCGAGGCTGGAGGAGGAGAGGCGGGCGCCCGACGAGCAAGCGTCGTCCTCTTTCGCTGCAGAGAGGCCGCCTTCGGCGGAGGAGGAGGAGCCACCGCCCGACTTCATCTGCCCGATCACAACCGAGGTGATGAGCGACCCGGTGATGGCGGCGGACGGGCATGCTTACGAGCGGACGGCGATCGAGCGCTGGCTCGCGACCAAGTCGACGAGCCCGCTGACGGGCGAGGCGCTCGACTTCACTCGGCTGTTCCCAAGCCACATCCTGCGCCGGCAGATACGAGAGTGGCGAGGACGGTAGCTTTGAGTAGCGTTTGCACCCTCCACCCTCGGCGGCGAGACCACGTGCATCATCTGCTTCACGCCTTGAAGACTCACATCGCGGTCACATGAAGACTCACAAGTCTAGTTAGAGTGATCGAGGGGTGCCCGTATCAGGAATCAAATAGCGCTCGCGAGGTGTCGTGGGACAGCATCGCCCGCCCCCCGCGGAGCCTTTTGGTTTTGCCGGAAGGGAGTTGGCCCGCGAGGTTTTGTGGGACCGAGAGCGGAGCAAAAGAGCTTGCTCAGGGACATGTCGCGCTATTCGGTTCGCCGCGGCAACCCTGGAGACGAGGCACGGGTGGGCGACGCCGACGCGGACGAAGGCGCATCTAGCTCAGGCTGGAAGGCTGAGATTGAGTCCATCACGCCAACGGTGCGGCCGGCCGCAAAACTCGCCGAATTTCTTGTTCAAGGTCCGTGAACGGCGTCAAAGAGACACAGCGGGTCCCGCTTTAGCGTTGCCCTCCTCGCCGCGTCCCTCGCGGCCTTACAGACGAGGCAGCCCTTGAGTTCGCTCCTTGTGGCGGCGCCCGGGGTATCTCTCCCCACCTCTCCCCGCATGATCCTCTCGTGGTGCGCTCCGTGTGGCACCCCCGCCTGCTGCCGCAACCGCGCTCCTATGACGGTCTTTGTCACCACGTTGTGATCATCCACATCGGCGAATTCAATCTCGCGCTCGCCGTGCTGATCCTTGATCCGCTGGCGCTTGTCCCATTTGTGTCTCGTCGTTCCCCTGACCACATCGCTCCACAGCGGCCCCGTCACCCCTGCCGTGTGCGACCCCGCCGTGAGCCCCTCGCCGAGCCGTCCTCGCACCCACTCGTTCGTGTGGCCGCGTGTGGCGTAATAGGTCCTCCGGTCCAGTACGTCCCGCCCCCACTCTCTGTCTGCCGTCCTCCGGCGGTCCGTGTATAGGCACGGGCGTGTCCTCACTGCTTCACGGATGACGGCGGTGGCATCCTCAATCTCGCTGGCCCCCATGTATGCCGTCGCCGCGGCGTCGGCGTAGGCGTTGCTAGCGCACCCCGCGTGGCTGCCTCGGTACCCACAGGAACGTGACGGATTCAAGCTGGGCGCGATATCTGCATATCCCCTCCAGGCAACCTCCTCGATCCCACTCCCGGAGCCCCTCGAGAGAGCCTTTTCGGTACGCCGCCTCGATCTGCTGTAGCGCGGGCTTGCAGTCGCTCAAGACGAGGCACCTCCTGTCCGCCGCATCCTCCGCCGTTGCCATCTTACGCAGGTAAGCCAGCACCGCGAACATTTCCGCGTCTATCACCTGCCAGTCGTCTGGCAGTCTGCCGCCCCACAGCCCCTGCCCAAACGCGAGCCGCAGCTCATCGTCCCCGCCTTCATTCACGTTCAGATGCGGACGTCTCGAGATATTAGAGTTGTCGCCTGAGAGTAGGTTGCTACACTCTCGCTTCTTTGGAGAGAGGCGCCTCTCCGCACCCCGTACACAGGGTACACCACGACGGATCTGGGTGGGTACTTGACGAGTTCTCGTAAGAAGGCGAAACCAAACGAATTTTTCACTGGGCACGGGACTGGCCAGGCCAGGGAGTCGCGCCGCTGGTCATATGCATGTACACCTCAGCGAGGTCTCAAAAATGGGTCGTTGTTGTCGGGGTGTAGAGCTCTAACCAGGTGATATACAGACGTATGGAGTGGCCGGCGCAGGGCGCAGCGCCGTGCGCGCCAATCGGCGAGGACGCCTTCGCGCCTCCGCGAAACGGCGTCTGCTGCGCCGGCCTCTCGAAGACGTGGAAGGCCGCGGATGCCTTTCACGAGACGCCGTGGTACCAGTGCTTGCCCGATCCAAAGACCTCGCTGCCAACGCCGCCGCCGCCAGCGGCAGCGCCGTGCGCGCCGGAAGGCGAGGACGCCTTCGCGCCTCCGCGAAACGGCGTCTGCTGCGCCGGCCTCTCGAAGACGTGGAAGGCCGCCGATGCCTGGCACACTGAGCCGTGGTACGAGTGCATCGCCTCTCCCTCTGCACCGACAGGCTCTACACTGTCAGCGGTTGCGCCGCCGCCGCAAAAGAAGAAGAAGAGGAAGAAGCCACCGCCCTCACTGCCACCCCCGCCTGCACCATCGTCGCCGCCGCCGCCGCCGCCGCCGCCGTCCCCAGCCCCACCGACGCCGCCGCCGCCGATGCCGGCACCGGTGCCCCTGCCGCCGCCGCCGCCACCTCCGTCGTCGCCACAATCGCCACCGCCGCTTGCACCTCCGCCGTCGCCACAGTCGCCACCGCCGCTTGCACCTCCGCCGTCGCCACAATCGCCACCGCCGCCACTGGCGATTCCACCGCCGCCGCCGCCCGCCTTTCCATCGCCGCCGCCGCCGCCGCCGCCGCCGCCGCCGCTCACACTTCCGCCATCGCCGACGCCGCCGCCACTGCCGCCGCTGCCCGCACTTCCTCTGCTGCCGCCGAAGGGCTCGAAACGCCCGAAGGGGGCGAAAGGACCGAAGACCCGCCCCATGGCCGGCACGAGGCCGGCGTCCAGACCCGAGCCGGCGGTGTCGGGAGAGAGCGGAGGCGATGAGGCTCGAGCGAGGGACGGAGGGCGAGTGGGGGAGGGGGGGCGAGTGGAGCCGGGGGAGGGAGGGCGAGCGGGGGCGACGGAGGGCGACGGTGGCGAGAGAGGCGAGTCGC